TTCTCCCTGAGGAGATGAGGGATGGACTCTACCTGATGCAGTTTGGGTCATTTGGCTGATCTCAGGTCATGTTTCTGGATCCTTTCTTTGCTTGACCATCAGTGCCAAGTCCTCTTTCCACCTGGCTATTTTTGTCACCACCTGTGCTCCTCAGTCCTTATTTGGGACACTTCCATGGTTTTTTAGGACTGTTTGGCTTACTCAGAGTTCCCGGTACTTACTATTTTTGTAGCATATATACCTTATAGTGTATACCTTATAGAAACAAGTATATATCTATACTCTGTAGACAGAAAGAAGCACCCATATTTTAATAACACTTTACAACTTGTTAAAATCAATGTAAGTGATCATGTGTGTCTTATTTTATCTATTACAACTTCCTTTTTGTATACTTCATGCCGTTCTTTTTTGATTATTTTTGAACTGGCCTTCCATAGACTTCACCAACATGCATGTTTTCTTTTCCGATGGACCACACTGGTCCAGCCGGGTCACTCTTTGTACTTGGAGCACTGTCCCTGACATTCCTTGCAATATCCTTGCTTTGTGCTCACAACGGGCTGTTCCTGTCCTGTCCTGGTTATTCCTGCTTTATGACATGGAGTCAACTACCCTCCAAGGAATCCTTTGCAAGTCGTGTATCCAAAATGATGTTTCTGGTGTAATAGATTAGGGTTCTGGATTCTGCTCTTTTTACTGCATAGAGTTTATTTGACCATTAAGAGTCTACTCCACGGACGACCACAAGCTGAAGATGTGTGTCTCCCCTCTGCGTAAGGACACTGCTCCTGCTGCAGACTTGGGAGCTGCTGTCCCCGCAGTGTTTTCAAATGGCACATTCGGGGCTTGCATATCTGAAAATGGCTGTGGCCGACTCACTTCTGGTTGGCCAGGTCCTAAATACCCGACTGCTCTGTGAAGAAGGGCTCCTCTACCCACTCTCACAATGCCAAGTGGCTGCCTTGATTAGCAGGTGGCCTTTGAACCTGTTCCTCAGGCTAATGCTATTGCATAACTCCCCTGCCTTATATCCCCTTCCCTTAAGACCCTTTCCTAATAAGAAACTGACGGTTACCTTTTGCCAGATTGATTGCATCTCTGGCAGGGGACGTATTTGCATGTATAAATAAGCTTCCTAAAGATAGTGCCTTAACCCAAAGGGTAGACTGCTCTCAGGAGGGATATCTGCAGGCGGCAGTGTTTGGGATTAGGGTGTGGAGGGCAGTTGCACCTTCCATATCTTTCAAGTCACTTCCTGTTCATACTTCTCTTCATGCTTTGCACCATCTCTTCTCTTTCTGTCTCGCGTTAGTACGGTGGCTGTCTGTCTGTCCTGCTAAATGCCAAGCTCGGTGAGGCTGTGAAGCATGTCTCTACCCAACACCGCACATACACCACTGACTCCCACTGAAGCCTCTGCATCTGTATCTTTAATTTTCCGGTTGGTTTAGCTGATTTCCCAATGATGAGTCTGCCTCAGGATTTCTTTGATTTTTTTTTCTGAACATTGGATTTTGACAAGATACTGGCAGGGATGTATGTGACTAAGATGGGAAAATAATTTGGTTCAGTAGATAAAGCCATTTCAAACATGGAGTCAGTGAGGGGAAATAGTCAAAGGTTCTTAGTGTTGAGAGTGGGGTGACCACTGTGGTGGGTTACTAAGTGTACAGGAAGGACATTTATTTAACGGGATAATAGTAATAATAAAGACAAAGGCTAACGGTTACTGAGCTTTTCATTATATGCCTGCCCGTGTTCAAGGTGCTTTACAGGTGTAATCTCATTTAATCCTTCTCACATACCTATGAGTACATACTGTTATTAATCCCATTTTATAACCCAGACAACTAAATGGTCACACAGCTAGTAACTGGCAGAGTCGAGACTGCAAGCCAGGCTGTGACACCAGAACCTGCACTGTTGCTGACTCAGCCTGTCATTGGCTTCAGAGGGGAGTCAAGTGTTTCCTACTGCGAAGAAAATAAAAAGAGTAGTGACATCAGACTGGAACTTCAGCAAGGGTCTCTAAACTGTTATATTTAGGATTAGAGGCCCAGTGCACAACATCCGTGCACTGGTGGGGGGTCCCTCAGCCTGTCCTGCGCCCTCTCACAGTCTGGGACCCCTGGGGGACCCCTTAGCACTGCTGAGGAGGCGGGAGAGGCTCTCACCACCTCCGCTGTGCTCGCCAGCCATGAGCCTCATCCTGTAGGAGCGCACTGACCACCAGGGGGGCAGCACCTGCATTGAGCATCTGCCCACTGGTGGTCAGTGCGTGTCATAGCGACCGGTCATTCTACTGTTCAGTCGATTTGCATATTAGGGTTTTATTATATAGGATAGTTTTTAATGAAGACTCACTCATGGAACTTAGAACTGGGAGGACCTTGGGAAGTTATTTTAGTCCAGATCCTTCACTTCCTAAATGAGGGGCTGAAAGCTTGGGTTCTGTGATTTGCTGAGAGTCGCACATCTAGATATTGCCAGTCTTGGGGCCAGGATCCCGGGCTTCTGATCCCAGTCCTGTGCTCTTTCAAGTCAGCCATGAGGCTTTCATTTACAAACATCTCACATATTATAGCATAAAATGAAGTGCACATGACGTGATCCAGAAAAGCTGAAATAAATTCAGCTCTTGCCTTTTAAGTTTGCATTTCATTACTATAAACCTTTTAATGTATACATTGAAGTACTAGAAAAAACCCAAATAGAACTTTTTAAAAAACTTTCCTGCTTCCTGGATTTAAACTGATATTATTTGTACCAAAAGGAGCACATGGGCCGGTGAGGCTTAGCTACCTTGGGAGCACTCCTCTTGCTGCCTCACTCGGCACACAAGTGCACTGTACCTTGTCGTAGGATAGGAAGATCGCTGTTTCACACCAAGTGTTTTCTTATACGTGGGAAGGGATGCTGACATTAATTCCACAGCTTTCTTTGGAATGCTCTCAACCTTTTGTGTTGGCTGTTAGGCACTAAAGATACTTAATAAGTTCAGTGTTGAAGAGCTACAAGAAGTTGGTGCTTTTATATTGGATGGTTTGTGTGTGTGTGTGTGTGCGTGTGTGTGTGTGTGTGTGTGTGTGTTTTTAAGATTAAGACTCTGAATTTCCTATATGCTTCAGGTAATGAATGGCTCATCTGAATGTGAATGCTTGGGAAGGGGCCAGCTGCTGTTGCTGATTCTTTTCAGCCTGGGAACAGTGTCTAAGTACAAGTTTCCTAGTAAATGTTGCCCCTTTGAGTAATCTGCTTGAAAACACCTCCCATACAGAGATTTGGTATAAAACCTCCACACTGTGAAAAGCAATCTTTTTAAAGAATAGTTTAAACCTCAACATTAGAGACAGTGTTGAAAACTGAAGCTAAATAAAATATATACATTAACATTTTTAATAACTTTCTTTGGTGAAAGTATGTATATGCAAGTGAGATTTCTACCTAATCCATACTAGTTTAAGAAAATCTGATTTTAAATTTAAAAGCGAAGATTCTTCCATCTGAAAGTTGTAATTTCTCAGCACCACCTAGTGGTAATTTTTAACTAAACCAGAATATTTGCTGATTGTGAGATTTATATTAGTATTACAGTGAGGCCCTGGCTGGGTAGCTCAGTTGGTTAGAGTGTCATGCTGATAGGCCAAAGTTGTGGGTTCAATCCCAGGTCAGGGCACATACAAGAATGAACCAATGGATGTATGAATGGATGGAACCAACAAATCTATGTTTTTTTCTCTCTTTGTCTCTCTATCTCAAATCAATAATTTTTAAAAATAACACATTACTTGAAATAATTTGTGTTAAAAGACATTTTATAAGTGTCTCCTACTTGAATTTTACTGTCACATTTTCAACATTTCTCCCATTGAATTATTTTTATAGTTTTCTTTGTAGATGAGTTCAGGTATATTTTGTAATGTAGTTATAAAAAGGGAAGAGGAAAAATCAAGTACTGTGAAAGGAATTGTAGTGATACAATAATACATTTTTATTGTTTATGGAAAATATTCATAAGGTCTGTATGGCTTGATTTTATTTTCTTCAAATTCTTTTGCAGCTTTACCATACCTACCTGTTTAATTCTGTTGATTTTTTTTTTATTTCATGTTACTAGAAAGGAACAAATGAAGAGGTTAACATTTCATTTGTTCCACATGATATGAGTTTCCTTTTAACTGGAATATTTTCCCCATGTAATAATGAGTTGAGAAGTTCATAAAATATTATGGTTTTGAAACTTTCAGCATACAAGTTTTAATTATAGTGACTTGTTTAGCATCAACCTTGGGTCGTAAAGTCTTTCGAGGCTGTGCAAATAGCTTCATATCCCTGATAATCTCTAAAGATCTAGAATTTAATAGGAATGTATCCTGTCTTTCTATGAATTATGAATACATAATGCCTATTTTACATTGAAGATTGCTCGGAGTCTAATATGTTTTTCCTCTGTGGATAAGATACGAATATCATGTTGGAATTTAATATTCACATTTCCATATGGTTAAAATGTCATTTGTTCTTTGTATTTTGGTTGTGGTTTTGAAGGAAAAGTGGGGAAACCAGAGAAAAGTAAATGCCCCAAAACAACCCTAAAAATTCATTAATTGGTATTTCCTGAAGAAATAGAAATGGCCAATACATATGTGCATGAAAAAATGTTTACACTCACAACTAATAAAAGGAAATGGAGACTTGAATAATGGTTTATTACTTGTGTTTCTTATTCTGCCCATACGTGGATGATAGTTTAGCCTATGGAAGTGCCGTGCACTACAGAAGACCAGTTTTGGGGACTTAAACTGGGTTCTGATTCCAGTCCCACCAGGGACTTTGTGACCTCGGGGCGCAGTTTCCTCGTCTGTAAAATGAATGGATTAGATGAGACCATCTCTTAGGTCTTTCTCAACTAAAAAAGCCTTTCAGACTTAAGTAATTTCTAACTCTTAAGATTTATAATAATAAAGTTTCTGATAATTTTATGTTTTCTCTTTTAGTTTATATCTGTTCAAACTAGGAATAGCACCCCAGATCCAGGATTTGTTGGGCAAAGTGGACTTCACAGGTACTACTGTGTATCTTCATTATTTTTTACAATGTCTAAGAAAATGGACCGTACTTTTTTTTTCATTGTGATAGTATTGACTTCCTTTACTCCTCTATGTGGGGCAAGGGAAGAAGCATTATTTTGTACTCAACCAGTTCCTTTCCCCCATGTTTGGCAAATGAGAAGCTAAGGCTGGCTTCATCCTGAGGTTCTTATTTAGAAATGGCCCCACCTTCTTGATAAAGACATTTCTTTCTTTTTTTAATAATGACATGCACTTTTTTATTTTCTTTAATCAGAAGAATAAGCTCCACGTATCTGGGAAGGGGTCTCTAGGATGAAAGCATTTCTTAATATGAATATACTCCTTCCTGCCTCCATCTCTGTGACTCTCTCTAATTTGTTGTTCTTTTTCAGAGGAGGAAATCAGTAATATGAGAAAGGAACTCGAGAAATATGGAATACAGATGCCATCTTTCAGCAAAATAGGGGGTATTCTGGCTAACGAACTGTCTGTGGATGAAGCTGCACGTAAGACTTAAAATCTGGACCTGCCATTCACATCAGACTGACCTATACTCTGTTGGTTTTGGTTACAAGAAACAGAATTTTTAGACGACACTTTAAACCTCTCTGAAAGCTTTTATTATATGTATTGTAGATGGTTAATTTGAGCATATCAGAATATAGGTAATTAATTGATTTGGGACTTTAAACAGCCGCTTGTGCAATGTGGATTAAGAGGTTCTGGAGATATCTTCATTCTTCAAAATATTTCTTTACTCTCTCTGTCCTTAGATTTTAGTGGCAGGGCGCATTGTCTTTTAATGTTGCAAGTTAAGTTGCAGGCATCTCTTGGAATCAACCTGCTACTTTAAAAGTGTCCATGTTACCCTTCGAACCCCCAGGTGGTTGTCACAGCACTTGGTTCACATGAGTCATTCAGTGCAGGTTGAATAAATGAATGGGGATTATGTAATAGAGGCTGAGGCAGGACTGGAGACAGATGGGCAGGTGGAGGGCTTTCAGAGGGGCGCTCTGTAATGTGTCTGAGGCCTCTTTTTTGGTATGTTTACTGGGAGCCAACGAAGAAAGTAAACCAACTTAAGTGTATGCAGTGTCAGTGCAACTGTCCATGTTATCTTTTGCTGGTAAAAATCTTTTTTTTTTCTCTCCTCAGTGCATGCTGCTGTTATAGCCATTAATGAAGCTATTGAAAAAGGAATAGCAGAGCAGACCATTATAACACTAAGAAACCCAAATGCAGTTTTAACTTTAGTGGATGAGAATCTTGCACAAGAATATCAGAAGGAACTCTGGGCAGCCAAAAAGGGAAAAGAAGAAAATGCAAAACTGAAGGTATTTAATTAGTTTCTCAGTAATAAATACGGTTATGAGTAGCTAGTTTGAAAAAGGGGGATATTTTTAATTCAACTGGCTGTGGTCTCTGTAGCCACAGGCAACTGGTTTGTGAGAAGGGTAAGGGTGAAAGAAGATCTTGCACTATGGATAGAAATTGGGTTTCCTTTTGTGATGAATATTGTAAGTTGCAAGGTTTTTAAGGTTATGCCATAAACTTCCTACCTCTCTGAAAAGTGTGAAAGTAGTAGCTAAAGCTCTTTCCTCGTTAGCACCACCTGCAGACCTTGTGTTGGCTGAGTTACCTGTAGGTTTATTAGTAGAGGTTAATAATTCAGTGTGGTGAAGTTTAGAGAGGATGTTTTGAGTCCACTCTCTTTCTATTTTCCCGATATCCACCCTCATACTGGAGGAAGATGTTTTCCTCCTTAGCAAGGCTGCCTGCTCCTGTTCCGAACTCCGCACCCCACTTCCTGCCTGGCTTGTGTTACTGAAGACTTTGTCTGCACTCAGCTTCCACTTGCTCCCAACCCTCCTCTCCTTAGGCTCTTGCCATGTCAGCTTCAGCTCCATTACCAAAAATGTGGCTGTGGTTCTCTGCATCAGCGAGTGTCTCTTCCTCCTCCCGCTAAGTGTGGGGCTTGACATTGACATTGAGTCACTCCTGTCTCTGTTCTTCCTCAAGTAAGCTCATTCACTTGAAGAAATCGCTCTCAGCTTCATAACAGGCCCTCTACCGCCCCTCCCGATAACTTCATCTGGGTCCCACCGGCCTTGCCATTCACCATATCAGAAGGGTGTTCATCTCTACCCTGCCCTTCTCCACATGTGCCCTTGCTGACTTCCCTTTGGAAGGACTTCCACACTGCTTCGGAATGCTTTCCGTGTCCCCTGTGTCCTGTCCATCACTGCATTCTGTGGCCTTTTCTTGCCAGGCTTACGTCCACCCACCTACCTCTAGTCTCATCACTCTTGCCTCAGCCCTGCCCCGCCTGACCTGGCCTCAGGACTCCTGCAGCACCTTCCTCAGGGGTCTCCGTGCTTCCTGTCACTCTCCAAGCCAACCCTTCTCGAAGCTAGAGGTTGCAAAATTAATCTTTAGCTACAGATCTGGTGTCATTTCACTGGAAACCTCCCCTGTGTCCCTACTGCCTACTGGGTTAAGTACAGGTCCTTTTCTTGTCCTTAAAAGGCCTCTAGGATACGCACTCTACCTCACCGTGTTTTGGGCTGGCCCTGGACACCCCCCCCCCCATGCTGTTTGCAGCCCAACGTGCTAGGCTTTCCCCACGTTTTTCACCAAATCCTGCTGACTACATCCTGCTCCCCATTCTGCCTTTAACATGACTCTCTCCCTCCAGCACTTCCTCATTTACTGTCTCTTTTTAAAATTTTCTTTCCAACTAAGCATGTACCTCTCCTATAGAATGTATTCCATTGTACTATGTATATTCATTATTTGTGTTCTTGATTTTATTAGACTGAGTCAAATGAAATTGCCTATATTTAACTGGTCTTGATATTCAAAAATGGCAATATCAAGGGGTCCAACATAATGTTTACATTAGAAAATTGGGCCTTTGCAGAAACTCACAGGGTCTGTTCATCTTTGCAGTCCTTGCTGGGCATATCTAACCATAGAGCCCTGCACAAAGCAGGCGCTCTGAAAGGCTTCTATTGCGTTCACGTGGATGTTAGTGAATGGTTTTTAACGCTCCTTGCATTTTTGCTTTTGAATATCGAGCTTTGGAAACATTTAGCCTCAGGAATCAGTGAAGACTTTGTTTTGCAGAATAACTGTATTTCAGAAGAAGAAAGAGATGCGTATGAAGAACTGCTGACACAAGCAGAAATCCAAGGCAATATCAATAAAGTCAACAGTAAGTAATGGATTCTACGAAAGAAATGGATACTTCTATAAGATATGAATATTCCTTGTCAGAGTCTCAGCAAAACTCTCAATTTGTACCCTTGTAAACCTGCCCTTGCATGATGAAAATTCCGCTAAATGTCAATGTTGCTCTTAATTAAGGTGTATCATCTGACAGTTTCCTATGGAGCATTTTTTTGGTGATCCTGTCCCCAGTCCATGCAGAGTAGCTCAAGGTGTTTCCTCGTAGGTACAGTGTATGTCATATTCTGAACCTTTCCTTGATTGGTATAATACTGGAGGTTATTTAGTAAAATAGTATGACTTAAAGACTGTCATTCCTTGCCCATGATTATGTGATGGCATTCGATTGGAACTATAAAAGGTATTATTAACAGCTCTACTCTTTATTACTTCCCAGTTATTAGTCTACAGTTTGTAAGAATTCTTTTCTTACATCTTGTGTAGCTTTTATCCAAGTGAGTGAACTTGACAGACCAATGAAATTGCATAGTGACGGGTTTATATCCATGTCCCTGAGACTGTGGAGTTGTACAGTTCGTTCTTCTTGTTACTTGGTTCAGTTGTATGACCAGAAAACGCGGGTAATTAAAATAAGCATATGCAAGTTTAGATACATTAATCTCTTTATTAGTCTTTTCCCCCTTCTAATAAAATTTACTTTTACTTGAAGCAGTAAGGAATTGTATTTGACATTTATTTCCCGTAGGTTAACCTAAATAATCCATATATATTACAAAATGAATACATGAAAGACCATTTAGCCCATTGAGTAAATCATGTGAAATGTCTGCCAAACCTAAATGTGGAGTATTTCCTAATCACAACAGTCCTAAACCTTTTCCTTGATTTAACATCCTCTATGAGCTTTGGAGGTTCTTTATCGCTCTTAACACCTTCAAAACAATGCAGACCTACCTGTAGGTGTAACCCAGAGGTTTGCTCCCAAGTTGCTGGTAGAGACTTCAAACAGTAATTAAGGAGGCCCAGAGAACCCTGATGTAAATATGTAGGAGTTAACAACTGAGTAGGTTTGAGAAGTTATCTCACACATACACTGCTAAGAGCTCTAGGGTAACTTTTTTTAAGGGAATATCTTAACCTTGTGGGATGTGTATTTCTATTCTTTTATTCTTATTAAATATTGAGCATGTTGGTGATGATACATGAAGCACAATTTTAAGTTTCTGCTCTGTTTAAAAGCTGACAGTTTCATTATGCTTGACATAAATGAATTACAGGAAGAAATTAATATTGCCAGTAAGACATCTGAGGTCCATAAGCTTAGTTCCCATAACCGTTTGCCATCCTTTATTTTGAAATGTTTATATCCACTAACATTGATTTATTTTTCATGTTAAATAAAATGCCTTATGTAAATGTTTTAATACTTTACTCCATGACAAATTTATACTTATTTTCCCCCATTTTTAAATAAAAAGCCTGAGCTGATTTATACTGATATGATTTATAACCAGCTGAAATTATGAAGGGCATTGCAATGTTTGGTGGTTTTAAAGGTGCAGAACATGATTATTCTGAAGTTTTTATCTCTTCCCACCTGAAAATGTATAGTCCAGTAGAACTAAACGTAGTCTTGGAAAAACACTCAAAAGCATCTTTCAGTCCGTGACATGACAATGAGACAATTGTATGCTTTAAAATATGTACGTTTACAGCTACTTGACAAGTTTTTCCCCAACCATTGAGGTTATGATATTAAAATGTTAAGGTGGTCCACATTCGTAGCAGCCATAGTTATGGCATAAGTGACCGCTTTGACGGTAATGCCACCAGCCCTGTCGTCAGTTTTGTTTGAACTACAATTATTTAACTTTTGGGTTTGGCACGTGCATTCCATTCATTACATGACCTATTTTGTTAAGGTCAGGGCTGGAAAGTTTGTTAAATGCACAGTGTAAAAGAGTGGTTAAGCTTACTTTATTTTCTTTTTAGAAGTACTGATGCATTAAGAATGCTTTAAGGGTGTGATTTTTCCAGTAATATTTTACCCTCCAGTTGTGTAAATTCATCTAATAGAGTTTTCAAAGGTGATGCAGGATCCCATCCAAAGTAATCAGAGACATAGTGGAAAGGTCTCAGATAACTTTAACGGAACAGCAGACATCACAACCAAACCCTGACCTTCCTTTCTGGAATTCTTTCATTTGTCATATTAATTCTAAGAATAGAAACAAGTGTTTGGGTTCTTAGGATCCTTTAGAATAAGTGTATGTTTTCTGGGATTGTGGCATGAAAGATTGCATTCGTTGTATTTCCTGCTTTTGAATGATGTCTTTTATTTGAAAGGTTATTAAGGGTAGCTCCTTGAAAATGTAGTTAGAGAAGATAAATGGTTATCTGTTGGAAAGGGTTAGAATAATCTTAGTTGTGTATTAGGGAGACAGACGAACCCTTGAAAAGCTCTAGAAATGTATGGGGTCTGTGTTTTTTCTACTACCCTGATGTCTTCTTTACAGGGCAAAATCCTGCCTGTTCTGTCTGCTCTACGGTTGCCTGGTGGCTGAGTTCACTATTCATCCTTCCATTTGGTCAGCAATTCCTTTCTGTTTTCTGAAAACGATGCTGAATCTACTGTTTCAAGCACCCTCAGTTTGGTCACTAAAATTCAGATCTTGTAATCTGAACATTGCAGCTGGTAGAGACATCGCAGAGCTTACAATTCAGGCAGCTCATGTCCGCCAAGGCATTTCTGTGACCAGGGCCTTTTTATTTAGATTAACTGATACTAGCATAGACTTATTCAATCATATGGATTTTGATTATAATATTTTAAAAAAACATACCTGAATTATTTTTTCTTAAGAATCACAATTCAGCTCGGCCAGAGTGGCTCAGCTGGTTGAGTGTCATCCTGTGCACCGAAAGGTTGTTGGTTCGATTTCTGGTCAAGGCCCATACCTGGTTATGGGTTGGGACATGTACAGAAAGCAACTGACCGATGATTTTCTCTCTCTCTCTCTCTCTCTCTCTCTCTCTCTCTCTCTCTCTCCCTTTCCCTCCCTCTCCCTCCCACCCTGCCTCCCTCTTTTCCTCTCTCTAAACCTTGGGTGAGGCTTAAAAAAAAAAAAAAGAACCATAATTCATAGAACATGCAGTTGAGGGAGAAGCGGCTGTCCTGAGAACTAATACCATCAGTCTCAAGCAGCAGCGTGTCCGAGTGCTGACTGCCGGTTTTCCATGGTTCTGACTCAGAGGAAGGATACAGCAGTAGGGCAAGGCTTCCCATAGCTTCAGTCTCCCCAGGGAGGCTGAACACATAAGGAGCATTAAAGAGCAATGCCTGCAGGATCTGTATGGCCCAGCTCCAAATACTGTGTGGATTCCCAAGGTGCAAAATCCTCAGGGACTAGAACAGTGGTGGCGAACCTATGACATGCGTATCAGAGGTGAACACGTGAACTCATTTTTTTGGTTGATTTTTCTTTGTTAAATGGCATTTAAATATATAAAATAAATATCAAAAATATAAGTCTTTGTTTTATTATGATTGCAAATATCAAAAAATTTCTATATGTGACACGGCACCAGAGTTAAGTTAGGGTTTTTCAAAATGCTGACACGCCGAGCTCAAAAGGTTCGCCATCACTGGACTAGAACTATGTGAAGGCTTCATGGAAGAGCTGCACCCACAAAGGAAGAATTTTGTAAGGAAGTCATGCTAGGCAGGAATGCCCTCTAACTCCAGCTCCGTCCGTGCTGACGTTCTCTTAGGTCCTACCTCCAAGCATTGGACCAACTTCCAGTCACTCAGCTACCGTTTCCAAGGTTTTGCCTGTCCTCCAACTGCAGCTTCTCCGAGTTCATGGACAGTGACTCCTTAGGTTCTAATCCTTGGACAGCTGGGCTGGATGGGTCAGGCCAAGTGGGAAAGTGGACATTCTGACGGTGTGACTCCCACCCTCAGGGCTGGCTGCAGTGGACCACATCAATGCTGTCATCCAGGAAGGTGACCCCAAGAGCACGCTGCTCGCACTGGAGAGACCAGAGGCCCAGCTGCCTGCTGTTTATCCCTTTGCAGCTGCGATGTATCAGAACGAACTTTTCAACCTTCAGAAACAGAACGCCATGGTGAGTCAGAGGAGACTGCAGTTGTGGAGATGTTCAGTATGAGTCCAAGCCATGAGGAAGGCTGTTTAGGAGGTGAACAGGGGTGTAGAGTCTTTAACTTGTTCCAATCCCCGTCTTGTAGGCCTCCCTGTACCAATTTCATGGCTGCCTTCTCCTTTAACCTGCTTTTCATCCACGTAACGAATCTAAGAGCATAGTTAGGAAGTGCAGACAGAGCTCTACACAAAAAACCATTGAAAACGGGTGTTTCTTGTTCGCTGTGATTTTTTAAAGTTTTTTGGATCATTTTAAAACTTTACTGAATTTTTAAATTTTTTTAATTTATCTTTATTGTTGAAAGTATTACAGATGTCCCCTTGGTTTCGTTGGTGGTGGTGTTGTTTTTCCCATTGACCCCTCTACCCTGCACCTGCCCCTCCCAGGCCTTCACCACATTATTGTCTGTGTACATGGGCTGTGCATATCTATAATAATAAAAGCATAACATACAAATCGACTGAACGACCAAACAGCAGAACGACTGTCTGGACAACCTTCCAGATGACCACGCTATGACACATACCGGTGCCAGGCCAGCCAAAGTGGGTGCGATGCAATTGGTCGGGGGTCGGGGGGCCCCGCCATCGCCCCACAGAGGGAGGCCCAGGCCACCCTCTGCCCGGCGATCGATCGGAGCCCTGGCCAGGTGGGCAGGGCCACCCTCTGCGTGGTGATGGATCGCAGAGCCCCCCCCGGGTGGGCAGGGCCTCCCTGTGTGGGGCAATCGATCACAGAGTCCTGAAATGTTATGTTTTTTTTAATAGAAAAATAAGCTCTAAATCAGCTTTTATAGAAATCTACAATTAGAACATTAGCACCATGGCTTTAATTTTTGTAAATTTATGCTCCTTAATATGTGAATAGTATTAAACAGTAATATTCACATAAGGTTAGAGTAATTAAGAGCATGTGTACTACAAATTCAGCTAAACAATGGAACAGAATGAGAAGTACTGGAACAGAGCCAAGAATTTAATATATGAGAGAGCTAGTATTTTAAAAGGTGGGGAAAGGAATGAAACCCTTAACAAATATTTCACCATTTGGAAAAGAAAACATTACCTCACTACACATATCAGAATAAATTTTCAATATAAAAGGTTAAATGTGAAAAAAAATTATCTTAAATTAAAGTTTTAAGGAAACATAAAAGGACATTGGCTCTTAAAAATTAGAAACAGTACTGATCCACCAAAAAAAATGTGGGAGGGGGGCAAAAGCATAAAAAGGCAATTCACAAAATATCTGATATTCATGATGACAAACACACAAAAAATGTTCAAACTCAACCAGAAGTAACTAAATGTAAATTAAATCAAAATACAGTTATTTTTAGAAATCAGATTGGTAGAGAGTGGAGAGATCTAACCTAGTGTAGGCACAGATTTGGGGCAGCAGGCACCTCCTACACAGTTGACAGGAGCATGAGTGGTGCAGTCTTTCTGCAGGGTGATCTGAATGGTGTGTATCGAAGGCTCTTACCCGTTTTCCTGACAATCACATTCCTAGGAAAAGAATGTGAATCAAAAGTTTGTAGCCACAAGGCTGTTTCATAGCATTGTCTCTAATACTGAAAAGCAGGAAACAAATGACATGTTTAATATTAAGTGGAAAAATTAGATTAAAATATATAGCATTATCTTGTTTTTTTTGTAATTAGAAAAATAATAAGTTGGTTTCAAAACACTTCTGTAGTCCTGGCTGGTGTCACTCAATGGTTAGAGTATTGGCCTGTGCACTAAAGGGTCAAGGGTTCAATTCCTGGTCAAGGGCATGTAACTGGGTTGCAGGTTTGATCCCCGGCCCCAGTCAGGGTATGTGCGGGAGACAACCAATTGGTTCTCACATCGATGTTTATCTTTCTCTCTTTCCCTCTCGCTCTCTCCCCCATATCACCTCCTTCCCTCCCTTTCCCTCTCTCTTAAAAAAATAAAATCAATGGAAAAAATATCATCGCATGAGGATTAACAAAACAACAACAAAAACACCTCTGTAAATGTTTGCATAAGTTAAAAATAAATAGAAGAACATATACTAAAGGACTGGAGTGGTAGGACTTGCTTATTAAGACTTCCTATGTTTTCTAAATAGATTCTACTTTTTTAAATACACATTTTTTTAAATATATTTTTTATTGATTTCAGAGAGAGGAAGGGGAAGGGAGAGAGATAGAAACATCAATGATGAGAGAGAATCATTGATCAGATGCCTCCTGCACGCCCCCTACTGGGGATTAAGCCCGAAACCTAGGCACAACCACAACCTGGGCATGTGCCCCGACCAGAATCGGACCATGACCTCCTGGTTCATAGGTCAATGTTCAACCACTGAGCCACACCAGCTGGGCAAAAGATGCTATTTTAAAATAAAAGAAAAATAGGTTATTTCCTCAAATTGCATTAATATTTCCTGCTACTTCTCTAGCTTTGAAGCCCAAGGCTACTGGAACTCTACCACAGTCATTCATCCCCATTTGGTCAATAGTCAACTAATGACTATTTCTTTATCTTTCCTTACCATTTTTGTTGTGTACCACTTTAGATATTTGTGGATAGTTCACTTGAAAGGGTAAAATAGGTGAATCTCAAATGATTCCATTCTACCCTTTACTTGTAATGTTATACTTTCCCTATGTGTTAAACTTATAGTTAATATAAGATATTTAGATAAAATTTAGTTACATGGTCCCTATAATAACCTCTTCTTCCCATTTGCTTTGGAAGGGAAAATTACGCTTTGTTACTCTAAAATCATTTTGTTGCAAGATTTCTGTGGATATTCAGAAATCTATAATATAAATATTACATACATATAAAATACATATAATATCCTAGATGTAAAGATATATATCAGATTTTTTTATTAATTCATTTTTATGCTCCCTTTGTGTTCCTTCAATATATGGAAGAAATAACCTTTTGGAAGTTAGGCCAAGTTAGTATAAAATGGTTAAATGGAAGATAAAATTGAAGAGGAAAAGTGTTCTAAAATCTAAGATGTACTTTTTAAATAAACCAAATTCAGATTTGTAAATCTGGAGATTCTTATTTATTTTGCCAAAAGGTAAACCTCACATTTCTTTAAACATGTAGATGTTATAGTACATTTTAAAATGTTTACCTAATTATAAATATATGACTAACTTTTTGAAGCTGGAATCAATATTCTTACCTTAAATATTTTTATTTCGTTTTCTGGGGCTATAACTTTTAGGTGTAATTCTATCCTCTTTTCCTTACCCTTAATTCAAATTGGAAATCATTAGTTTTCCTAAAATCTTACCTCACACTCTCAGACAGTGACAGCATTCTCTAATGCTTGGCTTAATTATTTGGTGAGACTGAGCCTGTGAGCAGCCAATACAGCTGGGAGTAGGAATCAGCTATGGGAATGCAGTTGTTTTCTGAATCATAAATGTTGGTTGTAATGAACTCAGTTGCCAAAACCACCTAAGAAAATCCCGGAAGCCAATTTACTTCTTCTTTAAAGTCGGTGAAGAATAGGTGACCAGTGAGCTCTTTTTCTCCTGGGTTGTCAAAATCTTTGACTTTTCATCGTTTTTTGAAATGTGCATTCTAAACCCCCATCGCACCCACAAGGTGTGTGAACTTACTGCCATGTTTCCCGACAGAACTACTTGGCCCACGAGGAGCTCTTGATTGCGGTGGAAATGCTGTCTGCTGTTGCTTTACTAAACCAGGCCTTGGACAGCAAGGACCTGGTATCTGTGCAGAACCAACTTAGAAGCCCAGCAATAGGCTTCAACAATCTGGACGAGACGTATGTTGGACGGTAAGATGTTTTCCAAAACTCTTCTCAATGCAGAAATGTATGTTTGGCAGATCTCACAAATAAAGGGTTTGTTGCTTATTGAAGAAATCCATATAGCCATGCTCATTTTCTTGAAAGTTAGTCTACTTTGTTTTAAGAGTGTAATATTATAGTTCCTCCTGTACATTCTTCCTTTTAGTGAAGCAGAGGTCTGAAAATGATCATCCTATGGCAGTTGCTGACTGACTTTGTCATTAGCAAAGATTATTTGATAGGCTAAAAATGCAAGAAATGTTGAAAACATACTTTCTCCATACCTTCCTTTGGGCTTCTTTGGGAGATGACAATATATAGAAAAGTGGGAAGGATCCTTAATAATCATCTGGTTCAATTCCCTTTATGTTACTGATGAGGAAACTGAATCTGGATTTATCAACCCAAAATTTGGCAACTGGGCCTCAAACCTCATTTTTCTGGTGGTTAAACCAAAGGAATGCTGAGACCACAGTGGACCATGACAGTGGGTAACAGTCTCAGTTTAGTATTTTTCATTTCATGTTCCTTAAATATGGTACTAGATAATACAATCGACAGTATTATAAAACACTAGAGCAAATCCAGAGAGAACATTAAGGGCCTGGAATAGGAACCCAATGAAAGATTCAGGCAGACAAAAGCCCAAATAAAAAACTGAGTGATTTTCCATCCTTGTGACCACCAGGGGGAGATGTCTGCTTAGATCTTGACAAAACTCTTCAACTATTGTTTCTGGAACTGCTCAAATAGAAAGGTTGAGTAATTCTCCTGAGTCAATATAGTTGTACAGGAAGAAAAAATATTTTTTTAACTTGGTGTTTGACCACTTGTCCATGTAGAGAATGGCCCAAAAGTAGGAGGACACTGGATTTTCCTTGTTTTTAGTCTTTTTGGAGAAACTGATGCTCTTACACTACATACATTTGGCCACCTGGTTCATTATGCCTCAGAGTCTCTTTCCAAGGTAATTTATTTCTACTATTTCTACTGTTTCTGTTCATGACACCACCCGCTCCTCCACGCTTAGAAACCTCAAGTTCAGCTTGAGTTTTCCCCTGCCCTCTGCCAGGCAGCCTCCTGCTGCAAACAGCCCACTCACTTCTCTCCCTGTCAGTATCCAATCTGTGTGCAATACCTCTGCAAAGTGTCTCCGTTTCCCAGCGACCACCTCGTTTTCACTTTTGCTTCTATATATAATAACCTCCAGATTGGTCTTCCTAGATCTTATCTGTCCCTGTTCTTACCTAACCAGGCTTTGCTCTGCTCTCTCTTAGTGTTGGAGTAGAAGACAGAGCTGGTCACTCCCTCATGAAGCCTAACAGCCTACAGGGGCACTCATGGGGAATCTGGCTCAAAGAATTGTCAAGGCTGTCCCACAGATTTAGCATCCCTGGCCACGCCCTCTAAAGAACAGTCCTCCCTCCCTCCAAATCACCCATTTTGATTTTCAGAAATCTTCTCTTTCCCTATTCCGATTGACAAATAACCCATTGAGGAAGGAGTCCCACATTCCATTTGAGAACCACTTTTACACCTGTGGTTTTCAACTAGGGCTTACAGATACAGCCTCAGCCTCAGAGTTCAAGTATTCTGTATGTTTTAATAATATTTTTAAAAATTTTTGAGGGAGCTCGCTGCCAACCCTGGTGTGTGGCGTCACGTGACTAGGCGCACTCCTAGCTCTCCCACTTGCACTTGCACGTGTCCCAGGAGGCCGCTGACGGGTTTGCGTTCATGCCGAGCGAGGTGGAGAGGTGGGATGGAGAGCTGCGGGGTCCCATGAAGGGGAAAGGGGGAGGGAGGGCCAACTCCAGGACCACGGGGACAACACATGCAGTGAGCACCTAGGACCAGTGGAGGATGCTGTGGTTCCAGGGCGCCATCCTGGCCGCCATCCTGTTGGCCAAGAGGAGCGCAATCTTCGTGGTGGTCATGGGAAGTGATGGCTGCAAGTTGGGAAGATGAGAAAGTGACAAAAGCATCTTCAAACAGTTTTTTGCTATTAAAGTCAGTACCAAAAGTAAAGCCTACCTACAATTTTCACAAATCTATTCTCTAGTATGTATTCCACCCAGTTTCTTTATTTTTAAAAAAGTGTTTTTAACTGATTTTTAGAGAGAGGAAGGGAGAGGATTAGAGAGAAACATTGAGGAGAGAGAAGTATCATCTCATCAGCTGCCTCCTGCATGTCCTCCCCACTGGGAATCAAGCCGGGAACTGGGCATGTGCCCTGACCGGGAATTGAACCAGTGACTTCATGGTTCATGGATTGGTGTTCAGCTACTGAGCAACACGGGCTGGTTCACCTAGTTTCTTTATTGGAGACAGTAGAATTCCCTTGGCAGTCATAGAAGGAAGTGTTTCTGCAGATGAACTTTTTACCAAAATTCAAAGTCCGGCAGATGCACTCATTAAAAGGAGAAACTTCAGTGGCAGATGGCAGCCAGTCAACAAGTTCAGTCTCTACTCCGTCCACCTCATTCAAACCTAACAACACTTCTGAAAACTCTCAGTCCGGAAATGGGGAGCTTTGTGGGACACCACCCGCTTCTGCTACAAAGTCAGATTCTGCAACAGGAGGAGAAAGATCCAGACATGCCCTTCCGTCTCAGGACCTAGTGGGTGTTCACATCAGAGACCAGCGGAGGACCTCACTGCCAGAGCAAAGACCAACCCAGACACTTGAAGAAAGGAAGAGAAGAGAGAAAGAAAGAGGAAGAACACAGAGAGAGGTTAAGAAAGAAATTGAGAGGAGAAAAACTGGAAAAGAAATGTTGGAGTATAAAAGAAAGCAAGAAGAGGAATTAGCAAAAAGAATGTTCGAGGAAAGAAACGGAAAAGTCAGAAAGAAGATAGGGTAGCTTGAGAGCGTACAAAACATCAGATTGCATTGGACCGTGCAGAGAGCTACTCATTTTCCAAATACACAGGAAGAAGTAGAAGCTGCTAACGCTGCTGCCTTGCTGGCTACACAGGCTGAAATAGAAGTTAAGAGGGACACTTCTGCAAGAGAAGGAAGCAAAGTTGCAAGAATTCAATTCCATCTTTCTGGTGGTTCTCTCTTTACAAATCAGTTCCCTTCTGAGGCTCCTCTAGAAGAGGAAAGGCAGTTTGCTGCACAGGCTATTGGCAACATTTATTGTAATTTTTCATTAGCAACCATTTTCCCAGGAAAGAATTTACCAAAGAAGTGTATAAAAAGAATTTATTGGATGTGAAACTTGCCCCCAGTGCGTCAGTGGTACTGTTGCCCAGTAAGAAGGCCAGCTACATCCCTGGTACATTTTCCAGTGCAGACTTTTGGACACTGTTGAGAGAGTATTTTGTCATTCCTTGCCATCTGGGGGTTGATTAGCAACTTCTTGTTCAGTAATCCTTCCTCTGCATGGATCTCAGTGGGAACAGCATCTTGGGGACCTTCAACCCTTGCATTGGCTAGCAATTCAGGGGAAACCATCAGAAGGAGAGTGCTTGAGAAATGGGGGGAAGATTTTTTTTTTAAAAGGAGGGGAAGATACATAGATTGAGGGACTCAAGATGATGGTGAAGATGAAAACATTTGTTATGGAAATTCTACTCAACAGGTGTGGTGTGACAAGTACATTAGGTGCAATGATCATTGTTTCTTATATAGTTTAATTAAACTAAAATTCTACTGGAGAAGTGAGACTGCTTTATGTCTTCTAACCAACCTATAAAACGTCTCTTTATTCCTGCTTAGTGGGTTAACGTTGTTTAACTCAGACAAGTCAAGAGATTAAGTAACTCACTGCTATAGTAACTCAGTTGCATATAGTAACCAACTGCTAGAAACCTAAAAGAATCAAAAGAGCTGCCACAACCTCCCTTTATCAGATTTCTTATTCAGTATTTCATATATCCATTGGCCCTGTGCTCTCAGATAATACATTTTATTTAGAGCTATTTTACTCCAGAACTCCTAAGTCCACACGAAGTAACTGGTATGGCACGGAGTAATTTGACTCTAAGTTAGAGCGTTTTAACTAGCCAGTCAGGTGATTAATGGTTTATTTTTCTCTTTCCGCTCATCAGCTGCAAGCAAAATCTTATAGTTTTTAATCTTAAACACTGAATAAAAATTCTTTTTTATTTAAGCATTTTCTGTGTCACCTGGACGACCCAATACCGATTGCGTTTCAGGGCCCACTTTGGTTCTTGTGTTGACGGTTGCATTGGCCTCCGTGAGCTGCCATAGCCTCAGCAGTTCACTTTTAGTGTCAGCTTCTCACCCAAGTTCTTGGAAGCCCGGTTTACAGGTTTTCACGTTTAAGAAACGTTGCTGGGTCTGGGTCACTCCCTATGGCTGTGCAAGTTCATAGCACAAGAGTACGGGCATGGCCGCCTGGATGAATTCTTACAGAGTCTGTAGCTATTTATCGTGGCTTCCCCCCCCCTCCCCCCTTGGGACTGTGTTTTCCCAGAAAGATTCTTTTGTCTAATTCTCAAAAAAGTGATGTAGGATTGGCATGGCTCTAGGCATGTGCTGTTCCCAGACTAAATGTTCTAAAATGTAGCTGGGTTTACAATGCTTCTATGTTTAAGTGTTCCCAGTTCTCGTCTGAATTAAGAACAGACTCACTCTAAACGTGTTCTGCCCTTAGCTGCAGCTGCATCTTTCCTTGCATTTTGCCCATCAGCCAAGCTGGGTCCAAACACACTGTACTTTCTAGCTGTCTCCTCCTATGTGTGCTCCTCTCACCACCAGGAACATACCTGTCTGCTGACATGGTATTGGAGCTTACAGGCCCTGCCTACTATGCATCCATGAATATTTCCATGCTTCTCCCCACCCCCGCTAATGTCATATCATATCTCCTGAGAATTAGCATCATGTGGTGAGGAACACAATCTTGGAACCAAAAATAAAATTTTTATTCTTCCTAGTGAAAAACTTCCTTGGAATTTTTGTTGTCTTATCCACTAGACTGGAAGCTCCTTGAAGTATAAAGGCTGCATCTTGTTCATTTTAATATCCCTGTGATGCCTGCAACATATTTTATGTATAGTATGTGCTTAATAAACATTTGCTGAACTCAATTGGAATTTTAATCTCAAAACTTCCCAAGTCTGTTAGAAATGTAAGGTTACTAGTTGGCTCATGGAAGATGGTGAAGAGAGCTCTGAGAGGTGGGGTAAGCCACAGAGCACCTTCCAGAGTTCATGCCTTTAACTCTCAGATGGAAAAGCCTGCGGAGCCATGTCTTACCCCTAAAATCGGTTCCCTTTGACTAGTGTTGGTTCATTGCTAAAGAAATGATGGGTGATTGCCGTTTTTTTGTGTGTTTTTCCTCATTTTCTTCCCACTGGACTATCATTTAGACATTAAGCATGTGAGATACCCACAAGGATTCTGCACTCTTTTTTAGAAGGGATGCTGACTAGTGGGAGTTGCCATTTAATCCATATTTTTACTATGCTCAGTCAGTATTATATGTTACTAGTGACGCAGAGTATCTTCGTAGGCTTATAATTCTTGTTAAGGGGAAAATCTCACACGTGACAGTTAACCAGTTTCAGGCCTGCATCTGGTGATGTCTCATTCGGCGACAGATAATGCGTCATCACCACTGCTTCCTATTTTGAATGATCTTTTTCTCTCTCAAGCTACTCCGTGGAAGACACCTCAGTGTCATCTAGAGCAGTGGTCGCCAACCGGTGGTCCACGGTTGAGGGGCTGGAATAAGGAGCCCAATGAAAGATTCAGGCAGAGGCATACAAAACTTTAAGAAAATTTGTCACAACAAGAAATCAGTTTTAGGCTTAATGCAATGTTCATTCTTTAACCTCTGTTAGGAAATCTGCAGGTGCTATTCAGAAGTCAAACTGCATAGTAAATCAATAGGCACATAGAGGATTGGTCTTTATTTCCCTGGAGTAATGCAAAAGCCAGCAAAACTATTGTATGTCATTACTTTGGGCTAGACTGGCTCCTGTTAGCTTATGGATCTAACACTGGTTCTATAAATTTTAAATAGGAAAATTGATTATTGAGAAATGAGAGTTCCTTAGTAATATATCAAGATGGGTGTCTTTTCCTCTAAAATTTCTCCAGATAAGAAAAATAACTGGAGTGATTGGCCAAACTCGATTTTCCAGAGGACTCTGCTGAGTGAGGAGGGTCAGGGGCCAGGACTGAGGTGTGACAGTGCTGTGGCAGGGAGGGGACACGAGGGTTTTGAGTAGTTGCTCTGAAGCCTTAGGAGCAATGGACAGGTGAGGAGGAACTTTAAGATATTCTGATTCAACTCATGCACCACCTCTTCAAGAAAACATACAGTGAAGATGTGTGTCATTTAGCAGGGTTTTCTGGAACTACATTTGCATTTTATTTGATTCCTCACTAGGCATATTAAATCTCAGGGTAACCCAGCTATGTTAGGGTTACAGTAGAAAGGACTCTTACAGCTCACATTGTGGGAGGAACAAGAGTAATAAAAAGAACGCTTAATGGAAGGGTTGAGGGCCATGGTCATTTAGAGCCAAGATGTGCAAAAGGGAAGAAAATTAGTAATTAGACAAAAAGCAAAATCACAGGCTTGAGGACATATAAGTTATTTTTGTTTTGTTTTGCTTGAGTTAGGTACAAAACTGGGTTTTGAGGAACTTTCATTAAACAGCATTTGTACATAAAGTATTTCTAAGAAAAAGAACACCATTAGTATACGTGAGCTTGTTGTATGTTGACAAAGCTGCACGCCACAGTTTTAGTTGTCTTTCTACTCTTTGTCTCACCTCCTAACAAACACTTTTGGCCCCTCGTGTCAAATATAAGAGGCATGTCTTGAACAAAGAATGAATGTCTCTTTGTTATTAGTGTCATGATCCTTCTCTCTTCCACAGTTATGCAGATGAACTACTCTCCATTAAACTGGACGTTTTGTCCCAAGGGCAAGAGACCTTAAGCTGGAATGAAATTCAGAATTGTATTGATATGGTTAATATTCAAATTCAAGAAGAAAATGACAGTAAGTATGGAATACTTTTTTTCTCTAGATTAGTGGGAAAATAAGGTGTCTCGACAACTTCTCTAGGGCTACAAATTTTGCTCATGGAGCCCTATGAAAGCACACTCCTCTAACATGTATGTATGTATTTATATGTAAATTGTATGCTTATACTACTGTACCAACATATTATAACATTATAAACATATATAAAAAGACATGAAAGGACAGACTAAAAATACATGTAAGTGGGGTGTGAAGAGAGCAGAGCGCCTGAAGGATGGCTCCTCTGTGTATAACACATCCAACAGCAACATGGGCTTACTCCTCACGGGTGGCAGGATGCTATGACCTTCCTGTGACATTACGCCCTATACATGAAAAAAAATACAACAACAGCCATACATAGAGGTCCTAATAATTTTTATTTATTGGTACTTCACAGTTGACTGCTCTACATAACTCAGTTGTTTAGGCACTCAACTTTATTTTGACTTGCATTTGGACATTTTCCTGAAATATGACACAGGTTCCTGCCCTTGGAAGAAATTGGAACATAATCTAACTGTTGCCTTATAATCAGAAGTCATGGTGATTTGTTGTGTTTCTAGAAATTATGAACTATGAGCATGAAAAGTGGGCAGTCCCAAGAGGATATGCCCTGAAACATGCTTTCTTGAGTGTCAGCTGCCTCCTTATCATTTTCCTTTTGCATATAAAAACAGTGGGGAATAAGGAGCTGTGTAACTTTAGCAATCAGTTATTCACTAATTTCTGTAGCATGAACTACCAAATTCAAGCTTTAAGCAGTTTTTCCCATCATAAAAACCAGCAGCCCTGGCTGAGGTGGCTCAGTTGATTGAGCATCGTCCTGTGCACCAAAAGGTTGCTGGTTCAATTCCCCATCCGGGCACATGCCCCAGTTTGGGGCTTGATCCCTGGTAGGGGGTGTACAGGAAGCAGCCAATCCATGTTTCACTCTCACATTTGATGTTTCTCTCTCTCTCTCCCTCTCCATTCCTCTACAAAATTAATAAAAAAATATTTTTAAAACAAACAAAACAAAACCCTGGTGTTTGTGTCCTGTTACAAAGCTCAATGCCCCAGCCCTCTGCCTTTCAGCCTTCCTCCTTGATCCCCAGCTATAGCACTTGGCATCTCCTGCTCCAATGGTTTGAGTGCTTTGGCTAATGCCACCCAAGGATGGACTCTTTGGGTAGGCAAAATAAACAATCATGTCTCATCTTTGTTTTCTAGCTTTTTCCCAATTCTTTATTTTTTTCACTCTTAAAATTTTTTTTATTGAATTTATTAGGATAACTGGTTATTAAAATTATAAAGATTTCAAGTGTACAATTCTATAATACATTATCTGCATATTGTATTATATATTCACTAGAGGCCCGGTGCACGAATTTGTGCATGTGTGGGGTACCTCGGGGTGGCCTGTGGGGGTCAGGCCGAAACCCACAGTTCAATGCTGCCTGCAGCTCCTACCTGCCGCTCCCACTCATTCCAGCCCCACTGCGCCTACCACGGGCTTGCACCCAATCAGTCCCGATCAGGAGAGGCTTGCACCGCCTGCAGCAGTGCTCGCCAGCTGTAGCCCTGTGTCTGGCACCCTCCCCTGGGGAGTGGCGTGCGGGATTAGGCCGAAACCAGTTCTCCGACATCCCTCGAGGGGCCCCGGATTGTGAGAGGGAACAGGCCAGGCCGAGGGACCCCACCAGTGCAGGATCGGGGCCAGGGAGGGACCGCGGGAGGACTCCAGGGCGTGTCTGGCCCATCTCGCTCAGTCCTGATAGGCTAGACCCCAGCAGCAAGCTAACCTACCAGTTGGAGCATCTACCCCCTGATGGTCAGTGCACATCATAGTGACTGGTTGACCCGTCGACTGTCTGCCCCCAGTGGTCAGTGCACATCATAGCAAGTGGTTGAGCGACCTTAGTATATCATTAGCATATTACGCTTTGGTTGGTTGAACAGTCAACCAGTCACTGGATGACGAGACACTTAGCATATTAGGCTTTTATTAGATAGGATTACCCAAAATCAAGGCTCCTCCCCTTACCATTTATCCCCCTTTACCCTCGTCAACTTCTCCTCACCCCCCTTTCCCTCTGGTAATCACCACACTGTTGCCTGTGTCTATGAGGTATCTTGGGAGTTTTTTTGCTTATTCCCTTCACCTTTTCACCCAGTCCCCGAACTCCTCTCCCCTCTGACAGCTGTCAGTAGTTCTCTGTATCTATGAGTCTGTTTCTGTTTTGTTCATTTATTTTTGTTTATTAAATTGCACATATAATTGAGATCATATGGTATTTGTCTTTCTCTGACCTATTTCACTTAATGTAATACTCTTCAGGTCCATCGATGCTGTCATAAAAGGTAAGATTTCCTTTTTTACAGCTGAATAGTATTCCATAACTTTTCCCCAATTCTTTCTGACAATACCTGAAGTCCAGTTCTGCTTTGGTGATTCTAGTGTGTGTTGCTTATGCAATGAAGGTGTGTGAGTTCTCAGTGATGAACAATTGTAGTTTTACTCTCATTCTTGACTTTGATTTTACAAAGGGGAGGGAACGCCATTTTTGTCCCAGAATATCTTAAGAGCCTTTACTTTTATCAGGAAAAGGGGGGAAAAGTAACATGTGTATAACTTCAAAAGAGAGAGGTCTTTTGTAGGTGGTTATCATTTTTAAAGAAAAATCTCTTTGGGTTGGTAGGACATTTATCTAGTTAAACTGGAATACTGTCATTCTCCTTGAGATATGTCACATGGCCACTATCATATTTCTTTTAAACATCTTGTCATGAAGGGCACATGCAATAACCAGCAGAGTTATTTCAGATATTCTCTATCATATTTCCTTTCTAGTATTTGGGGAGTTTAATACAGAACATTTAATTTCTTTCTTTTGGCTTGTTCTGTTATTCTGTCAAAATGAGGTATTTTTAAAGTTAAGTATTGAGCTTGATAGCTTATATTTAGGTGATTGCTTAAAAAGCTAAAGTTTAAAAATACACCATTGTGTATTCCATGGCAGGAATGATACAATATAGTAATTAAATCATCTGAAAACGCTGAGAATTTTTCATGGACATCTTGAAAGTGCTTTACTCTCCCCAGCCCACCCCTGCCACGTGCTCTCAGGTCTCATCCTCTGACTGATTTGTGATGTGGATAAGGTATGCAGCTAATGGGAAGTGATAAATGTAGAAGGCGAATTTAATGGAGAAGCTGCTAAATGCATTTTCTTAGACTTGGATGCTCTCTTGGTTTCTCACTAGAAATTTCACTGTTCCCCGTAGAGCCCCAGAGGAGCATTTATGTAGCGGAGACAAGGAAGTTTTCTTCTTTGAATTGCTTTTTACCTTTGGTAGGTACCATTCTTTGTAGGGTACCTCCTCTGCTGTCTCAAATACACAACCTCTAAGAGAATTTCTGCCCACTCCCTCATTCTGCCCACATTCTCGTGCGAGATGTTATGGTCTCACACGATGACTTAAGGAAGTGGGCCATGAACTGAGTGAGGCTCAGCAATCTTTGTTAAAATGGGATTTCCCCTGGATTTATAAACAGAGGCAGTGATACAGATGCACGGGGGGGGGGGGGGGGCTGGGCTGCTGCGTAGGTCTTTCAGCTCCTATGAGGTCATTTACTATGACCTCAGCAGCTTGAGTCTTGGAAACATGCCAAACAAAACTTAAGCAGGTGATTTCAATCAAGTCAGCTGGCATGCACTCATCCTCAGGTGAGCAGCCAATGGGAACACACATTCTTACAGTGTCATTCCGATTCTTTTTGGATGGGGTGTTTAAAAGTATTTAGAACGGTCTACCCAAGGTAGGTGTCTAGAGAATGAAATGAAGTAGTCTGTGCTCTCCAGTTTATAACTGCAACAGGGTAAATGATAATACCTTGCCCTGGCCAGGTGGCTTGGTTGGTTGGTGTGTTGTTCCATACACCAAAAGGTTGTGAGTTTGATCCCCAGTCGGACACATACAGAAGGCAACCTACTGGTCTCTCTCTCTCTGTCTCTCTAAAATATATAAAAAAAATATCCTCAGGTGAGGATCTTTTTTAAATGATGATACCTTGTATATAGATAGTGCTTAGACTTTCCTGAGTTCTTCCAACGTTTTGAGATAATGTAACTTGCATGTTAGGAAAGTACTTTTACTTTTTCTTCAAACATATTTAAGTATGTACTATAATCAGGAATAATTTCTAATCATTTTAGATTGTCCCTTCCATCCTCCAGATAATTGTTTCCGTTCTTAGCAAGGTGGTATTTATGGAGTCATCTATTTGGGGGATACTTAGCTGAGTATTTTACTTTAATTTCAAATATCTCAAGATGCAGATACTCATTAAAAATTAATAGTACGTATTCTGTTTCATAGCATATCACATTTTTAAAGTGAATTGTGATTGTTTTGGATGAAAGATATGTAACTGACAAAATAAGAAGTAATAAGTTTGGCTTTAAGAATGTTTATTTTCTAAGCTTGCTGCTTGTTTATGTTTAAGTTTTGTAGTAGTTCTTGTCCATCAGCACTAAGCTGGGAAGCAAACGCCCCCTGTTAGTATATATGTACGTGTGTACAATGTTTATATACACATATATACACATACTTGTACATACACTATAGTTTTATAAGACTGGTTGATAGTTTATTTTTAATAACAAGGCAGTATTGAGAAATGACCTCCCAATGGATCCCTTTTGCTAGTTTCAAAAACTCTCCAGATTCCATAGCTGGGTTTCTGTGCTTTCCATTCCTGGACCTTATAGTCTATGTCCTAAGATCCTATGCTAAGGTAGAGATAGTGGAAGGTTAAACTGGTGGAATGCTTATTCTTCCCTTAGTACCTCCAAGACTTAGGGCTCCAGGTGTTATCTTACCAGGTGGGATTACTGAAACAATGGCATTCAATAGCCATCCTTGAACCTTAACAATATCCCCAAACATGCATGACTATGGAGCTTTCCTATACTTCCAAGAAAGTATGGGTATCTTAACTGAAATTAAATAAAATTTCAAATTATGTTTTTCACTTACACTAGCCACATTTTAATGGCCTAAAAGTTACATGTGGGTGATGGCTTCTGTATTGGAAAGCCCAGATACAGAGCATTTCCATCGTCACAGAACATTCCATTGAACATCGTTGGGACTATATTGACCTGGAAATTCACTCTAACACTGTAGGGAATTGTTTGCTTTTGGAACTCTCTGTTTTGGCATTTTTTACAGAGTGGTGAAGTAGAATAATCCAAAGAATAGAATATATATCCAAATGTTTTTGCATTTCAGTTTTTTTTTCCTTGTATATCTCTACATTAAATTCTTCCAGCACTGGTATTCTATGATTCCATCATCCACTGTCTAAGTGAGGGTTGCCTTAGAAATTAGCATTCCTGCTGCTACTTGTATGTAAAGCTGACCCCCTTTTTATAGCAGCTTCATTGAGACATAATTCATATACCATAACATTTACCTTTTTATTGTTTTTATGTATTTAAAAGTTGTATAACAGTTATAAGACTCCTGTTCAGCTAGTCTTCAGATGGTTATTCCGGTTGATTTTTCTGTACTTTAGCTGCAATCTGATATGGTTCTGGGAGGAGGTGAGTTTGAACCTCCACCTACTTCACCACCATCTTGTTGTCTCACCACTATCTAAATTCATAGCATTTCATCACCCCAAAAAGAAGCTTCATACCATTAATATCCCTACCTCCCATCCCTTAATCCACTAATCTACTTTGTTTCTCTGGATTTTCCTGATCTTGACATTTCATATAAATAAAATCATGTAATATGTGGCCTTTTGTGTCTATTTTTTTTTTCCACTTAGCCTAAAGTTTTCATGGTTCATCTCTGTTGTATCACATTTCAGTATACTTCATATTCCTCCCTAGGTTAAATAATATTTTGTTCTATGGGTAGACACTTTGTTTATTCATTTATCAGTTGATGGACATTTGGGTTGTTTCTACTTTTAGCTATTATGAATACTCATTCTGTAAATATTCATGTTAAGCTTTTGTGTGAACATATGGTTTCCGTTCCCTTGAGTACATACCAAGAAGTGGATCTGCTGGATCATATGGTGGTCTGTGTTTACTATTTTAAGGAACTGACTGTATCATTTTCCATTTCCACCAGCAATGTATGTCCAGTTTCACCACATCCTCACACCAACTGTTATGGTTTGTGGGTATGAAGTGGTATCTCATTGGGATTGGGTTTTGCTTTTTGCTAATAACTAATGATATTGAGCATCTTTTCATGTGCTTATTAGCCATTTGTGTACCATCTTTAAAGAAATGTCTATTCAAGTCCTTTACCCACTTTAAATTGGATTTTCTTTTTTCCTTTGAATAGTAAGAGTTACTTATATATGTGGCCTACCTGTGTAGAAGGTATACAAGTCCTTAATCAGATACAGGACTTGTAAGTATTTTCTTACATTCTGTAGGTTGTCTTCATTTTCTTTGATGGTGTCCTTTAAAGCATAAAAGTTTTAAGTTTTATAACATCCCATGCATTTCAATTTTTCTTTTGTTGTTTGTGGTTTTGGTGTCATAGCTAAGAAGTAGTGCCTACTTCAAGGCCACAAAGATTTATTCCTATGTTTCCTTCCAAGAATTTTATAGTTCACTAGAGGCCTGGTGCATGAAATTCATGCACAGGGGCAGGTGTCCCTCAGCCCGGCCTGCACCCTCTCGCAATATGGGATCCCTTGGACATCCCTCTCACAATCCGGAACTGCTGGCTCCTAACCGCTCACCTGCTTGTCTTCCTGATCACCCCTAACCACTCTGCCTGCCTGCCTGATAGCCCCTAACTGCTCACCTGCCTGCCTGATCACCCCTAACCGCCTCTGCCTCAGCCACCGCTGCGGCAGCGAAGGATGTCCGGAATGACATCTGGAAGGTTGTTCAGCTGTCTGGTCTAATTAGCATATTATGCTTTTATTATTAGAGATGCTTTTACTTCTAGGTCTATGATCCATTTGAGTTATTTTTGTGCATGGAATAATATAGGAAATTTTATTTCATTCTAATTCATGTGGGTTATCCAATTGTATAAAAATATTATTTACCTGTTGAATTGTCTTGTCATCCTTGTCAAAAATCAACTGACCATAACTGTAAAGGTTTATTTCTGAATTTTAAATTCTATTCCATTGATCTGTATATCCTTACCCTAGTACAATGCAGTATTAACTGTAGCTTTAGTAGTAAATTTCAAAATTGAGAAGTCCTTCAACTTTTTCTTTTTTTTCCTTTTTAAAAATTTTTTTATAGTTTAGATGCACTAATCTTCAGATAGATAGATAGATAGATAGATAGATAGATAGATAGATAGATAGATTTTAAAGAGGAAGGGAGAAGGGGGAGAGAGAGATAGAAATATCAGTGATGAGAGAGGATCACTGATCGGCAGCCTCCTGCATACCCCACCCTGGGGATCGAGCCCACAACCCTGGCATGTACCCTTGACCAGAATCGAACCTGGGACCCTTTAGTCCACAGGCTGATGCTCTATCCACTGAGCCAAACCAGCTAGGGCAACTTTGTTCTTTTTTCAACATTGCATTATTTTATTCTTGGTCTATTACATTTCCATATGAGTTTTAGAATCAGCTTGGCAATGTCTGTTAAAAAAAATAGGCAGGTGGGATTTTGTTAGGTGTTGCATTGAATCTGTAAATTCATTTGAGTAGTAGTTCCATCTGAACAATATTAAGTCTTTAGAGCCATGAACGTGAGATGATTTTTCCATTTACTTAAGTCATTTTTAATTTTTTTCAATGATCTTTCATACCTTATGCTTTTTTTGTTAAATTTATTCTTATTTATTCTTTTTGTAATTATGCTGTATTTGTAATTAGGATCTATTATATATGGATTTTCCCCTTACTGTCGTTTCAGATTGCACATTGCAAATATATAGGGATACAATGGATTTTTGTACACTGATCTTATCTCTCACAGCCTTAGCTGTACTTGTTTATTAACTCTTATAGGTTTTTTTGTGTGTGTGGATTTCCCACCCCACTTCCTAACTCCATCTTTGCAATTGCTGATTCTAGAGAACTTATAAAGTACTGTGGTTTAAAAGGAAAACTTTCTTCATTTTCCAGGAGTTGTGGCTGTAGGGTGTATCAATGAAGCTATAGATGCAGGAGATCCTTTAAAGACACTAGAAAGTCTGCAGTTTCCTTCAGTTAAGATTAGAGATTTGGACCCAGAGCATGCCCAGCACTACCAGGATGTTTTATACCACGCCAAATCACAGAAACTGAAGGTAAGTCTCAGCAAGTTCATTTCCTTCACATTTACAGACTAGATAAGGGAAAAGGTAGAAGGGAGGATTTTTTTTTTTTACCCATCTTTTCCTAAAGCTTATGAGCCTCTTGTTCCAGCAGTTGCCTATGAATCAGAATGGAAGTAATAGCACTGTCATTTCCAGGCGTCAAACAAGCCAGCTCCAGAGCTGATGACTGCTTCCACTCTTTTCCTAAAAACTCAGTTGTGAGAGAGCTTTTGTTCAGAGTCCAAGTTCTTGGATGTTTTCTGAGCACATACTGTGTGCATAGTGCAGTATGTAGCATCTGGTACGGGAAAGGGGATCCAAGGAACACGTGACACCATTTGAATGTTCTGTGTCCTTATCCTCAATGCTGAAAAAATGATTGAGGCAGTGCGCATTCTCTGATAGAATAGTTAAATAATAGTAGAGATAGGCATGTGGCCAAGCGCCAAAATGAGGAGTGCACAGGGTGACTCAGAGGTGGTTGGGGTTGTTGCGGATTAGAATCCTAAGAACAGTTGCAGTGGAGATAGAATAGAAGCTGTGCCTGAAGGGTAAGGAAGGACTCTGAAAGGTAAGGAAGAATTGGTTAGCCGAACCGGTTTGGCTCAGTGGATAGAGCCTTGGCCTGTGGACTGAAGGGTCCCAGGTTCGATTCCAGTCAAGGGCATGTACCTTGGTTGCGGGCACATCCCCAGTGGGGGGCGTGCAGGAGGCAGCTGATCGATCTCTCTCATCGATGTTTCTAACTCTCTATCCCTCTCCCTTCTTCTCTGTAAAAAATCAATAAAATTCATTTTTTTTTAAAAAAGAGTTGGTTAGGTGGGTGGAAAGCAGCATGATTTAGGGAGGAACCAGCATACTTTGTTCTGGACATAGGACACTGACTGGCCATAGTCCCCATAAAGAGCAGACGGTTTATCTGGCTGTGGAGCTGGTACTGATATTATAAAGAGTCAAACAGACACTGGCCACTATTAGAAGGGTACTGGGCTGAGTGTTGAACCTGTCACCTGAGAGTGGGAGTGATGCTACCTGGGTGCTAGCCATTCATACCTTTCATGTCCCCATGTACTAGCCAACCCAAAAGAGGTGAGCATCTCCTCTATATGAGACTTTGGAACCAGGAACTGCCTTAAATGAGATGGGAAATACATCCTTGGTTAGAGCAAACATTTATTCATCACCTGATATTTGCTGGGCACGATATTAGTATCTAATATTCTCACATAATCCTCATAACAGCTCTCTGAACTATCGTTATCATCATCTTATAGATAATGAAGCTAAGACCAAGTTGTCCAATGTTACCCCCAAAAAGTAATTATTTCTGGAACTATGCCCCAGTCTGTGTGACTCAGAAACATATATTAAGGCAGATAGAAAAGGATGTTTATTGCAGCATTGTTTGTAATAGCAAAAGACAAAAAAAAACCTAAAATGTCCATCAGGAGGGGCTGGTTAAATTGCAGAGTATCCATACAGTGAAATACACAGAAAAGAATGAATGGTTCTATATTGGACAATATTTAATATGTGTGCTAAGTGTTTGTTTGCTTCCACATACACACACAAATGGCATACACACACCCATATATATATGGGCTTATATGTGCGTAGAATATTTCTGAAAGAAGACACCATCTGGAAGGTGAACCAGATAGAAAGTTGGATACTTCCTTTTCTCTGTTCTTGTACTATTTGGACTTTTAAGTTTTTTGCAGAGTGCATGTATTACTCAATGTTTCTAAACTTTCAAAATACAACATAACTCACGAAGGGCCAGTTCCCTCAGGAACTTAGTCTAGTTTCTAGAACAGGACTGCTCCAGTTCAGGTGTTCCCTTCAGAGTAACTAACTTTGCCTCAAACTATTAGAAACATTTTGGCATCATGTGGTCTCCAGCAGCATACAGAAGTGGTTGCCTCTGGAAGAGCATTGAGAAGAGGAGAAATATAATCTTTTAAACTTTGTACTATGTATTGCCTGTGCCAAATAAATCTTTAATAAATAAAAATTCACTACAAGTAGAAAAAAATAAAACAGTGTAAATCCTGTTCACTCCTCATTAAAGGTGAAGAAAACTGTTCCTTAGGGCGGGGGCCTTCTGTGCTGTTTGCCCTCTGATTGGCACGGCACGGTGGCAGGGCTTACCCCTACCTACGCTGTACAGGTGCCCTTACGCGGATTTTCATTTGAGCCTCACAGCAACTGTGGGGGATGGGTGCTCTCTCACCTGATGTGAATGAACCTGAGGCTTGGGTTGAATGCCAGGCCAGGGAGTGAGAGAATGAGACTCAGATTCAAGCCTTGTGTTCCCACATCTCAGGGAAGGAGAATAGACCCGTCAACCAGGAAGGGGAGCTGCCATCTGCTGTTGCCACTGATGTAGCTGTGGCCCTGGCACAGGGCACACTTACCGGCATTTTAAGATAAAAGTTGTTTGCTTTGGACACAGGCACCATTCAAATCTTGGTTTTGCCAAAAATTAGGGATTTTAGTCAAGTCACCAAAATTCTCTATGCTTCAGTCTACACATGTAGTACCTATCTTACAGGGTTATAAGGTAATGCCCTGCCCGCAGCCACTTGGGGGTTTGTCCTTGAGGTGAGCCTGACTCCACAAACGTTTCATAACGTTTCATAGGCAGGCGGTGGAGGTCCCCGCCAGAGCATCCCATTGTGAAGGTTCTGAATCAAGGCAGAACCACATAGCACCCTCCAGAGCACCCCAAAGCCTTCCCTGAGTGATCATGAGGTGCCAGCTCTCTGTTGGGCATCCTTCCTCAGTGTGAAAGCAGTGGCTTTAATAGTGTGATGAGAGCATTACATATGAGCCTAGAGAGCTGGGTTCTAGCTCAGGCATTAAAGTACTCTGGCCAATAAAATTAGGGGCTTGAACTGTATTGGAACAGCTAACAGGCTTAAAACAATTCTACGCAATGAATCCAATTTGGCTAAATTCCTATTCTTTTCAACATTTTTCTTTCTCTGCCCATTAGTTTTGAAACTTTCTTTTCTCAGCCTGATTTCTTCCTCTGGGGGGTGTGGGGGGGTTGGAATCTGGTTCTGATTATTTGGTGGGGTGTCTGCATTTCTTTTTTTTTTCTTTTTTTAAAATATATATCTTTATTGATTTCAGAGAGGAAGGGAGAGGGAGATAGAGATAGAAGCATCAATGATGAGAGAGAATCATTGCTCGGTGGCCTCCTGCACACCCCCTACTGAGGACTGAGTCTGCAACCCAGGCATGTGCCCTTGACTGGAATCGAACCCAGGACCCTTTAGTCTGCAGGCCAATGCTCTATCTATTGAGCCAAGCCAGCTAGACCTGCATTTCTCTTTTAAAACCTCTGTTGTTTTGATAGCTAGAAGTTTCCAGTTGTGTTTTATGGTGGTATTTCTGTGCCTTGCCTTCCCAAGGTCCAAACATGGAAAATAATAGAAGAAAATATATTACTTGTATTGTCAGTATAAAATAAAGCTTGTAAAATATATAGTGTTAAAAGTCTCAATGATAACATCTTCAAAGAATGGATACTGAGTTTTATCAAAGATAAGGGACAGTGATGTAAGTTGATGAGGATTACTTGGCCATATAAAATACCCTTATATGGTAAACATTACTTGTTCCTTGGTAATAGTATTTCAAGTATAACGTTGAGTAGGCACCAAATTCCTTTTGTCTCTTGGGGAAAGTCTGGGTAAAGGGCATGTTGGCATACACTTAGCAGAGAACACACTTTGTTCACCAGAGGCAGTGAATTTTGAGCTATTTTTAAATTGAAGGCTTTTCTTGAGAACATATGAATTATATCCCCAGCAAAAGTTCTGTTTTGCTACGTGTAATTTATTGCATAAAAATTAAGTGTGCTTTTAACAAGTGAATATTGTTTCATGTTTTCCATAGATAAAACTGTATTGCATTTGATGACTTTATTTGCAAAAACTAGTTCCATACATTTACCTTTTTGTCATCTTGAGACTTATTTTAGATTTGTTTTTCTTGCTTGCTTTATTATTTACCTGATTTTTCTTCTTCACACACTGCACACATGCTGTAAAGGGTCTTTGTGGGCATGTGTGTGTGTGTTTTAACTTAAGTCCAATGAAATAGGAAACTCTTCACATTAAAAAGTATGCATTTTAAGTTTTTTATTGTTTTGATGGTCACTACAAGTATATTGGTCAATGCACATTCTTACAGACTTGAAAACTCATGTCAGCAATCTTTCATGCCCTTAACTACTGATATCCTACCTCCTGTCTAATCCCTAACCTAAGGGAAATATAGTCATTTACCTACAGGAAGATGCTGGGCGTCTATAACAAAATCCTTTTTCCCATTAAAAACTATATTTAAGCCACAAAAGTAATGGAGGCATTTTAAACTTCTATATGACTTTGAGTATATTTGTAGCTTAGCTTCCTGATTTTTTTTATATGTCCAACTAAAAATGGTGTTGTCCCTTGTCACACAGAATACCTTGCTTTCTCTGTTGGAATTTAATGGACTTTCATGCTGCTAAGATGCTTTGGGATTTTATTCTTTCATTCAGCCACATGACAATGTACTAGTAAAGTATGGAGCTGGGCCCCACAGACCCTGAAAAAACTTGAGCCTGGGGTTGCCATAAAAAGCACAAAGAAGGGACAGAACAAGCCCCTTCTCTACTATACATGGTGCTTAAGTGTCTATGGAACTAATATTTGTATATAAATGAACTATATGTATTATAATAAAAATACAATAAAATGCTTTGAAAGTTCAGATTAGAAAAATGAACTTCTAACTTGAGAATCAGGGAAGAATGGTCCTTTGAGGGCTTTAACAGATGGAAAGAATTAAAGCAAATATGTTAGAAATAGCTTTCCAGTTAGAGACAAAGGCAAAAAGAGGAGAAATCACATCACAGCAAAGTAAGAAGCTTAGCTAGTGTCTACATCACAGGCAAGGTTTATTGGGAAGTAAAATTAGAAAGTTAGCCCTGAATG